CACCACACACCACACACACACACACACAACAAAACACACACACACACACACACACACACACACACCACACCAACACACACACACACACACACACACACACACACTAGTCATATGTTTAGTAAGCAGTGATGTTACAATGTCTGTTGTGCGTTACACAGGTGACTCATGCGAGAGAAGCAGAGAAAGAGGACGCAGGAAAAGAGCTCAGAGGGAAGAAAGAAGAGGAGGAAAGAAGAAGCCGAGGGAGAAGAAGGAGGAGGAGGCGAGAGAAGAGCAAGGAGGAGACGAAGGGGAGCGGGTGGGAGAACAGCCAAGGAGGAAGGCAGAAGAGGAGGAAGCGAGGGGAGAGCAAGCAGGAGCAGAGAAACGAGAGAGAGGAAGAGGAGAAAGACTTGGAAGGAGAAGGAGCCTGACATAGGTGGTCACGGAGGAGATGATGCGAGATAGGAGCACCAACGTACCGGTTAGCTGGACGGCTGGACCCCAGCAGAAGGAGAAGGAGAGGAGAGGGGAGGAAGAAGGAGGAAGAGAGAGAAGGAGGAAGAGGAAGAGGCTCCAAACCTGCGAGCGCGGAACAAAAGAGACCCCAGAGCGCCAGCTTTAAAACGAGCCCAGACGTCCAAGAGCCAGGAGAGAGAGAGCAGAGGAGGCGCAGAGGCCTGGACCGCACAACCAGAGACAGAGGACGGAGCGAGCCGCCTCCTCTTCTCCGTCTCCTCTTCTCACCCGGGATCAGCAGCAAGGATAAAGGCTCTCCTCCCAAGAGCAACCACAGCAAGGGCCTAAGGAGCGAGCCGGACAGCAAGGAGCTGGACCAGTGACACCTTCGTGGCCTGCGAAGGTGAAGGAGGAGGAGAAGGAGGGAAGAAGGAGGCCAAAGCGTCGCCTCCTCCCCCGATGGTCCGCCCCTCCTCTTTACCCTGCAAATGGCCGTGACTCCCCGCCCGACAAGGAACGTTTGGGGACGCCGTCGGATCGTCGAGTTTTACAGCGACGTCCAGGAGGGTTTCAAAGGAGAAGCCGGAGAAGTGGAGAGGAGCGAGGGGGAGAACCCTGAGGGAGCCAGTCCTCCTCCTAAAAGAGAGGAGAGGAAGAAGAAACAACTTCTGTACGTCTTCATCACTAAGCATTCCATCTAATGTTGTATTATCTTTTTTTAAAGATATTTCAAAAGTGATCATAGTGTTTTTATTCCCAGGTGTTCTGGCCAAAACAAAATATGTAGTGAGGGCTGCTCGATTATGGCAAAAATCATAATCTCCGGATTATTTGGGTCAATAAATTGTAATTGCCGAATTATTCATATGACTTTGAAAACATCCATTTATTGACAAAAAAAAAGTTGAACATTATGTTTTTAACAGCTTGATTACCCTGAAACTTGTAAGTATAATCTCAACGAGAAACCAACAAAATAAATTAAAATAATAATAATGCGTTTTATTTCGATTACGTTGTTTTCGTAATCGTTGCAAGCCGTAATCGGTATGCGGAGTTAAAACACGATTTAATTGAGCAGCCCTAAGTCTGTAGGTTAACCATTTTTAGGCGAGTAAATCTGTGCAGCTCCAAAATGACTTATTAAAAATTATATTTTTAACACGTTAGCCTTTAAACAGATATTGTGGCTCTCCTATTATTTGAATATGGCATTAATCTAGGGCTGCCTCAATTAATCGTATTTTATCGCGATTACAAAAACAACGTAATCCGAAAATAAAACGATTATTTTTTTTAAGTTATTATTAATTACTTTTTTTTTTTAACAATCTTTTTTTTTTTTTTTTTTAAGTGGAATTACGCTTAAAGTTCAGGGCAATCAACTGTTAAAAAACATGACATTGTTCCACATTTTTTTCCTCCATAAATGGATGATTTCAAATCAATGAATAATCACGTTCAATAATCGCAATTACAATTATTGACCCAAATAATCAAGATTATGATTTTTGCCATAATCGAGCAGCCCTACATTAATCCATTATGTGATTTCTTTGTTTTAATATTTATTTATTTCATATTTTACCTGTCTATTCTTCCAGGCGTGAAACAGTCTCCTCATCATTCGACAGTTTGTCTCCAGGAAGCGAAGGAGCTGGTGCTTTTTCAGCCAGAGAGGTATTTTAAATACTAATTTGCTGGAAAAATGACATTCTTAGTTTCTGGTCCAGTTATTGTGGATTATCATCTAAAACTATATATTCTTTTGCAGTTGATTTCCCCCTCAGAAAGCCAGACTGACGGCTCGAAGGGAAGCTCCTTCAGACGGAAACACCAGGACAGTTCAGACTCCACACACTACTTCCCCTCAACACCAGACAAGTACTGAACTAACTTCACTGTTAAATGTGACAAACGCTTTGGCATGTACATGTGTCTTAAAAAGGAAGTTGATGTGATGAGTTAAATACAGGACAATGAGCCAGAATCAAAAACTGAGACATTTCTTTTTACTTATTCAGTTTTTCTAATGTTTTCTTATTTGGGATATGGTATTACTTGACCTACAGTACTAGCACTCAAAAGCACACACACACTTTTGATTTCTGTACTCAGGGTTCATTTAGATCACTAAAAAAGTCTTAAAAGCATTGAATTCATTCATCTAAAAATAGCGCTTAAATTAGTGTTAACATTTCTTAAATATGTTTTTCAAGAGTCTTAGAAATGCTTAAACATGGAAAGTGGGATTATGAATCGTTTTTAAAATGCCTTTTGAAGAACCGTAGCATCTTAAAATAACTGGTCACATCTATTCTGTTTGAATTATTTGCTTCGCATTACGATCATACAGATCAGGAAGGTGAAATAATGAAGTCAAGTTGGTATTCAATTGAATCCGAGTGCCAGTTTTACAGTTAAAATAACAATGACTTTTTTAACCATGCAATAATTAAAACTCTAGTAAAGTGTAATGTATACATAATATGTAAATATGAAAATATGAAGAAGTAAAATACATTACAAACAGTGTGAATGGGTACAAACAATATGAACAGTTGTATAATACTATAGATCTATATAGAGACATAATAATGTAGACACTATAGAGAGAATACATATGAAACATTTCAGACCAGTAATGGCACTTTTATAAATAATATGAATAAATATGAGAACACTAGAGCAGTGGTTCTCAACTGGTGGGTCGCGACACAAAAGTGGGTCGCGGACCCGTTTCCAGTGGGTCGCAGATGTGTGAGAGAAGAATTTAAAAAAAAAAAGAATTTATTTTAACTTTTATTTTGAAGGCGCGATTTTCTAACGCTGTGCATGCAGTAGGCGTTGGACTGAAAGTACCGGAGACCATAAAGGGTTTTGAAAACTTCTGTCACGTAGTGATCATCTTCTCAATAAAACATCTTTGCTGATGTTTTTTCGAGTCTTCTGGCCAATCAGAATCAAGATTGTTGCCGGAAGTCAACTATTCTTTATACATCCATGGGTACAACTTCAGATNCGTTATGACTCCCACTATTAATTGAAATGCTTTTATGGATTTAGAAAATGATTTTATTGATTTAAAAAATAGTTGTATTGATTTAAATTGACATGCATCCGCTAAGAAAAATAGTCCGTTGTTACTGTTTGAACTAACGTAGCAACGGCAGGATGTCGTTGTCTGGACCGTTGCGTAAAAAGGAGGATTTCTGCCCGTTACTTCTCCGCTGTTTTCTTGTCGCTCTTGTCTTGTCAGTTTCGGCCAAACTGTATTAAGTTAAATCGAACGGACTTGTTTGTGCAGATGTGAGCGTCCTTAACAACGGTCAATAAATCCTTGACAGCGGTCTGTCTGTTCTAGATTAACAACGTGTCACGTGTTCTGAATTGACCAATCAGAATCGAGTATTCAACTAAACCATGTAATAAAATCCAATATCCTTTTTGTCAAACCGGTCGGTGTACATTTATATAGAGTTTGATACTTTTCAAACTATGGGAGTCCTGTTTTTGACCCGCTATGTTACAGAATATTTCTAATTTATGTTAAAATGATTTGTAGCTTATTCAGAAATACTTAAGGATAGACGTATGAAATATTTGTTACATGTCATGAAAGATTAAAGCTTTACGAATGAAATCATTTTATTATAAATTCATCTGTTGATGGGTTTATTTAAATAGATAGCCACAAACATTGAAAGACTAACCCTTTTCCAAAGTTTTAAGCACAAAGTTTTGTCCAAAATCCATGCGTTTTTCAATTATGATAAACTAAGGGGGGGAAAAGTGTTAAAACAATAGGGTCTGGCAAAGTAAGGGCGCCTATCCCTTTAAGAGAGAGAGGGAGGGAGGGGGGGTACGTTTGTAGCATGTATATGTGGAGAGCCAAACGTACCCCCCCTCCCTCCCTCTCTCTCTTAAAGGGATAGGCGCCCTTACTTTGCCAGACCCTATTGTTTTAACACNATTACATTTTTCCACAGGCCAACAACAGCTTCAACAAAACTATTTCCCTCAAAGAGAAAACCAAACATGCCCTGTTGTCGTGAGAGAGAAAGTGCAGAAGGAAACATCCATTAAACTCAGGTTGCTGCTCTGTGATGCTAGCTCAGATACTTGGCATCTCATCTTGGGTGCAAGGTCATCAATGTTTGGGCTCAGGCTCTGAGCTGAGGAGACCCTCAGGATGGAGTGAAGGTGTGCGTGCAATATACCGGCGGGCCAGATCTAATAGTGATTAGAAATGATCCTGCGGGCCAAAATTAAATCCACCAAGGGCCTGATTTGGCCCCCGGGCCTTGAGTTTGACACATGTGATCTAAACAATTGAAACAGTTGGCTAAAACTAGAAGATACAACTTTAAAATAGTTAGCCATTACTAGAAGCTTAACAGTCAAAACAGATAGCTTAAGGTAAAATAAGATTAGATACTTTATTCTCAGCTGAAATAGTTATAGTTTGGTAAAAGTGATGGACAGTGAACCTGACAGGGCTGCAGGGATTACTCAAACAAAAGAAGTTTGGAAAGCACTGCTCATGTAACTCCTCCTGTGTGTCAGCAGGAGGCGCTGTTCGACAGATGGGTTTGTTGTTCTGTTACCTGGTGCTTGATGGGGATGCTGTACTTCACCCAGGTGGCCTGCTGCAGCGTCTCCTCGTCCTCCAGCTTCTTCTCTCGCTTCTTCCCCTTCTCCTTATCCTCCCTCTCTATGGAGGTCATGCGATGCAGCCTGAAGAAAGAGAGAGCAGAATGTAAACAACATGTAACGCAGTATTTAAAAAGTTATTCGTGACCATGATGCTTGTTTGAGGGTTTGAGAAACCACTGCAGAAATGAAAGATGTTGAGGCCTCTACACTTTTTTTTGGAAAGCTCACTCCATGTCGATATGCTATTACTAGTTGTTGTTGTTGTTGTTGTTGTTTACCTGGTGTGTCCGAGAGAGTCTTTCCATACAGGCAGCATCACCACTGGTTTGATGGCACACTCCAGAATAGCCAAAGCCAAAGCGAACTCCCTGGCCTTGCTGCACATCTGCACTGCTTTGTTCCAGTTCGACCTACAGAAACAGAACAACCAAGAATCAAATACAGATGACAGCAGAACTGCATATTTCTTTCATAAAGCTTCTTCAGAATTGAAACTCATACATCAAGTAAAAATGGATCACCATATTTTAAACCAAATTATTACATGGCTTAGTTGAATACTCTATTCTGATTGGTCAATTCAGAACACGTGACACNTACGGCTGATACTTGCGCATTAGTTTCTGTTATGGATCAGTATCAACAGTCCTGCCAGTAACGTTACTATATTATCAATACTACTTTAGTTATAGCCTGATATATGATTGCTAACTTTACAATGTTGTGATGTGACTGACGTTAGCTAACATGCTAACGCCGGTCACTCACCAAGACAGCTGCTCTGTTCTCCACTGGTTCTCCACACACCAAAGCTCCATTTCTCTCCGATGGCCGTTATTTTTTCTAATCCTTGGCTGCTCCTGGTCTCTTGGACGCCTAGAAGGCTCATAATTATAATCATATGCATTCGAATATATATTTTCAACCTCTTCTGTGTCAAAACTAGCATTGTGATCCATGTTTATTCATACGTTAGACCGGCCGCTCTCCCCCTTGTTTCCCCCATGTTACGTCACACGCGGGAGGTCACGTGCGGAGGCTTTTTTATGCGGAAGTGAACATGTCTTACTAAAACGACGCCCGATGTCACTGTAGTGTATATTTCTGTATATTTTTGGGAAAATCTAGTGTATTCATCATTTTCCTCCACATTTATTCACTGGTGTCTCTTACCTGCAAGTTTCTCTTTAATTAATGTACAGGTGGGGGTGGAGGTGAAAGAGATTTCAAATTTAAAAAACAAAGTTTCTGAGTGGATATCTGCAATATTATCGCACTTTTTCTACCACATGCTGTTATGTTTGTAGTGCATTTCATCCAGTTTTAGCTGATTTGCCAGTGAAAAAAAGTGTAATCCTGACATTCATTTTAAGCCTCGCTTTAAGCATAATTGCATGGATTTTGCAGCCTTCATGTTCAGATTTTTTTGTACGCGCGACCCCTGAGAACCTAAATCTTTGTCACTTTCCTGTTTCTTCTAAAAATGATTAGAAACGCCGATGTGAGCCATGATGGCATAACCCTCTCCTCTAAAGCGGCTTTATAAATAGAACCTGTGTGCAGCTGCACGAGCCAAAGAAGTGCTATTGAACAGTTAATCCCATAAAACCAACAGATTACTGCATGTTCTTTGCCAGTCAAGGCAGTAGGCCATTAGCCCAAAGTGCCCTCTTAGTCTCTTATTTGTTCCATAATACTTTCCCTTTAATCCACTGTTTTTCTCATTTTCACTCATTGAACTTAAATACAAACACTGTGTCTATTATCATCATTATCTATGGAGAGGGATTTTTTTTTTTTTAGATCTCACCAAAAGTGATTTTTTTTTCATTTACTTTAATCTTAGAATTATGAGGAAAGAAATCTGAAAAAAAATGTATTCTCCATATTTTGTAAAAATGCAGACTTTTTTTCAGAATCTTTACTGAAATCTCATTAACAAAATAATCTAAAGCTTTCCTTAGAATTCTGACTTTGATCTCAGAATGATCATTTTGAAAAAAATCACACATAAAAGAAAAATTCCAAAGTGGCCCTATTGTCCTCCTTCATAATTATCACTATATTTATGATTCTTGTCTTTATTTTCAACAAAGGTTAACATCATATCAACCAACATTCTCCTATCTATTTCCTTTAGCCAGCAAGCTCAACAAGTTTAATCTCCACCAATCAGTTTTGCAAGCAAATCAATCTCTTTCTCTCCCACCTCCTACAAACTGCCATACGCCATTAAGCAGCACTTTGGAAAATAGTAAATTCCATCCACTGCTGCTGGAGGAGGCTGAGAAGAAGGCATGGCTCCCGGTAGGCAACATCCTCATTAGCCCTGAGAAGAGAAATGGGGGGGGGGGAGAGCAAGGGAGAAAGATCTCAAGAGGAGTTATAGACAGATGGACCAACTCTTTGCCATTGAGCTAAATGGGTCGTGGAAAAGTAGAGCAAATTAGAATTCGTCACATGACCCTTCAGAAGGCTGTGTGTTCAGTGTGCAATTTAGACATCTAACACACATATAATGGGGCTGTTGATCATTGTGAAGGCACGCACACTTAAAGACTCACTGAGGAAAAACAGATTATTTTGGTGTTTTGATGACCAACTTTGCAAAGGTTCATCACACACATGCTGACAGCACTGATGGTGTTGATAAGGACATGTTGTCATCGGCTGCCTGCCTGCCTATGTGTGTGTGTGTGTGTGTGTGTGTGTGTGTGTGTGTGTGTGTGTGTGTGTGTGTGTGTGTGTGTGTGTGTGTGTGTGTGTGTGTGTGTGTGTGTGTGTGTGTGTGTGTGTGTGTGTATTCTTGTGAGCTTGTATGCTGTGCTACCTTTGAGGAGCTATATGAGATATGAGTCCAAGATAAACAGAGGAGAAGGGAGTATTTCATTATTGAGTGAAATTCTAAGTTTGTACCTTAAAGTATGGAAAACACCCTTACAGAAAAGTGTGCATGGAAAAATATTTCTGTTTTAAGAATATAACCCTCATTCTGATTTATAAATATAGGAGAAAACTGTGTTTTTCATGGCATAGCCCAACAAATGAGTGCTGTGTCAAAGAGTGGTCAATGGCTTGAAGAATTATGGTGTGCAAATGAATGCACACCAGACATCGAAGCTGCCTCTACGCCTGTTTTCATCAAAGCCTTCAACACATTACCTGCCTAAGTGCAAGATCATTTGGGGCAAAACATCTCCAAACTGTGAATACATAGTGCTTTTACACTGGACAGCTGATTATTTCAATGACTGAGTAAAGTCAAACTGTTGAAGCTGTGTGAGCCATCTAAGGAAGCCCCCCTTCAGGAAATACCTCGAATGCCATACCATCTTTTAAAATGGACATGTTTTACTCATTTTCAGGTTTATATTTGTGTTTTGTGCTTCCACTGTGATATGTTTACATGATTTAATGTTCAAAAAGGTTTTCAGTTATCTCATACTGCCTGTGCTGCTGCACCTCTTTTCACCCTCTGTCTGAAACCAGAGCCCAGTCTGCTCTGATTGGTTAGCTGGCCGGCTCTGATGTGATGGGCTAGAGAGAGCCCCTTAGCCCATCACTGACAATGTGTTGGTGCGCTAGCCAATAGAAGTGTGAGTGTTACATATTGATGTCATTATGTTATTTAAGTTAACAAAGGAGTTCAATGGAGGCGTTTCAGGCAGGAGGGGGAGGTGGGGGAGAGAAACCCCCTCAGGTGGGAGCTTTGGGATTGTAGCCTTTGCTGACCATTTACATGCACAAAAACCTATACTATGACACACTACAGGAAAGGGAAAACCCCGAAAAACACAACAGGACCCCTTTACATTTCTAAATGCAAGGCTTGTTTGACAAATCCCAAATATGCAAGCCTGGTTAGCTTAAGATTCCGAAAGGCTGAAGAAAGCTAGATTCAAATGTAAAGTTAAAAGTATTTAACATCTCCTACATAATGGAGGCAGACATTGTAGGCCCTATGCAATAGCAAAAGCAGTATAGTCATGTCACAGCATCCTCTAAACCCAGAGTTACAAAGCGGAAACAAATCTACAGAGAAGCCTTAACATTTGAATCTTTCAAAATAATGGCATTTTGTAATGAAAAATGTGCAGGGACCCTAAACTCTGCTATTTATATCCAACTCTTATTCCTTACCTTCTTACTCAGATTCCAGGGAGAAGCTAGGGATGACACATGGAGAGGAAGAGGAACAGAGAAGGTTGGATGGACAGCTCTGCTGATAGCGGAGGCAGATATGTCTTTGGTTATCTGCTGTTTCTGCCTCTGGTGGAGAAGTACACACATTTGTAATAGCACACAGACACACATGTACACACACATGCACTGCCGGACAGGGCTGGGCAGTAGCCACTGGGGCCCGGCTGTATCGATTAGGAGAGTAACAGAGTTATTTCTGCAGGTCTGTCTCCAAAAGAATGTCCCCCTATGGCCGCGAATGCAATAAGTAGTGGGGGCCAGGCAGAAGGTAGGCACGTAGAGGCAAATAATAAAAGAGCAGAGGGACATTCCAGGAGAATGAATTGGAAATCGGAGTGAAAGGGATGGTGCTGTGTAGGGCGGGGCACACACATACACATGGGACTTTACTTGAGTAAACTAACGTGACAAGTAGGTGACCGTTTTGGTTATTATAACATCGGAATTTTTGTTTTGTGAAAAAAAAGTCAACATTTGGGATATAATGACGACAGAAGTGGATTACCTTGTAAATTACAAGTCAAAAAAGTAAACGTTTGGGTTCAACGTTAGGACCGTAACTTATAGACCAGGGGTCGGCAACCTTTTTGATATGAAGTGCCATTAAAAAAAAATGTTATCAGCGTATGTCTGTGTCTTACCTATGCTGAAGCAGTGGAAGGGGTGCAGTTGGCGCGTGCGAGCGCGAGGGACGAAGGTTGCGAATCCTGGCCATTTATATCTGGTCGCCCAGCCGTTGGAAAAACTAGTACTTCGACGGGTAATGTTCTTTTTTTACAAGATAGTCGCACGTTTGCGGGAGACCTATTAATAGTTGCCCCCCCGCGCCGCCCCGCCCCAACTGGCGGAGACAGTGAATAGCGGTCGGCGGTCTGCCGGCCGCCTCGGAGCGACGCCCCTTCGTCACCACACCTGACAGTCGCGTGAATGACTACCCGGCTAAATTGTTTGGGAAATTATTAACCAAATTTGCCGTATTACTATTCTGCTAGCATGACAAGCACTAAGAGGTGCTGTGTGTTCAATACTTTAATCGACCAGTACCGTCTCACTGTACTACTAGCGACAGGGAAATTCCTCCTCTCTCCCACGCGCCGAACAACGTACACACGAACACTTACATCTCGCTTGTCACTCCCTTGCACACATGCAAAGACCTTCACTTTGCCCTTTCATCTTTTGTACATAAAAACACCTTTGTCTTCTTGTCGATTTATTTACGCTTGGCAGGAGTTGGTTCTTCTCGAGCGGAAAGAGAGGTCAGGAAGATTACGATTTCACCAATAACTTGGACTCGGAACACGAAGACGGGAGGAGCTGATGCCAGACCCTCGGCTGTCTTAGTTGTGTGTCTACCGGTTCAGGCGGGAAACATTCGTATAATAAAGCTACTCATCTACTCGTCTAGCGAGTGACCCCGCGAAGTTGATGTATTGTGTCGGTGCGTCTTTGACGCAGTAAACAGTGCATGGGTATTCCTTGACATGTTTACTGCGTCAAAAACGCACCGACACAAATGAAATTCAACTTTCGGTCGACCGCTAGACGAGTAGAGAGTAGCTTTATTATACGGATGTTCCCCGCCTGACGTACGACACACAACTTTGAAAGGACAGCCGGAGGGTCTGGCATCAGCTCCTCCGTCTTCGTTTGTCGAAGTCCAGTGATTGGTGAAATCGAGGAATTTAAGTGTGGTTGGTGACGGTTGGAGCCCTACCTCCGGCTCGAGAAGAAACCCTCCTCAACGTAAATAAACGACAAGAAGACAAAGTGTTTTATGTACAAATAAAGCATGAAAGTGGCAAAGTGAAGGTTTGTATGGTGCAAGGGAAGTGACAGCGAGTGTAAGTGTTCGTGTGTACTGTTCGGCGTGGAGGAGCAGAGAGAATTTCCCTGTCGCTAGAGTAGAGGAGACGTACTGGGATTATAAGTATTGAACACACAAGAACCTCTTTAGTGTCGTGTCTGCTAGCAGAATTAGTTAATACGCCGAAATTGTTATATAATTCCAAAACAATTTAAGCCGTAGTACATTTCAACGCGACTGTCCAGGTGTGACGGAAGGGCGTCGCTCCGAGGGGCGGCAGGACGACTATCGAAAACCCTGCCCTTCCGCAGTGGGGGGGGGGGGCCAACTATTAATAGT